CGTGTGTCGGGGCGGCGGGGGTGGAAATACCTGTGCTCAGGCCGGAGGAGAGCAGCGCAGCGGGGGCGCATCCGCGCCTGGGCGGCCTCCGCTGTGGAGGTATGCAGCCTCAGAGCTGGCACTCGGAGTGGCACTTCTTCTCTTTTTTTTTTTTGTTGTTGTTTTGTTTTTTTTTGGGGGGGGCGGAGGGTGGGGGGAGGCGTTTCCCAATTCGAGGTGTTTCCTCGACTGCTCGACTTTGTTAGTGAATTGCAGTGCTGTGGCGCCTGGTCCCCGAAGTTGAGTCTTTAGTCCACAAGTGGCTGGTGCTACTTCGGAATGTCCTGTGAGTAAACTTGAGCGTGTCCTCGAAACAGTGAGGCTCAAAAAAGGTTTGGGGCCGTGGTTTGTGGAGTACTTGGGTTTTCTTTTGTTGTTTCAGCTGCGTTTCTTCTTGGAAGTGTCACATACCTATTGCTCTGTGCATGCTCTTGCCTCACCTCAGTTTAGCCATTTTCTGCCCTCTGCATATGAGGTACGGGTGCTGGAGAAGCCAGTATTTAGAAATTCCGTTTGATTACCTGTATGTGCTGTGGAAGGTTCCTTTGGAAGTGCTTTGCGTGGTATTTTTTGAAATAGCCCTACGTAACTGTCATGCGGTGTTTCACAGAAGAGTTAAAAATATGGATGAAAAGGTTTGAATTTAAAAAAAAAAAAAAAGTTGGAATGCTCCTTAAACATAAGGTTCCTCTTAACTTTTCCATCCCATTTATGTATCTACTGTTGTGAATTGGTTTTCACTGTAAAGCCTGAACAATTAGGCATATGTTAAATAATGTTATTGTAGGTTTTCTTGCTGCTAGATAGTGTGCATTTTCCACTGATTATTGTTAGGTAGGCTGCTTGTGAAGTTTAAATTCTTCATTCTACTGGCGGGTCTGATAAGAATTTGTAGTGTAACACTTTTTTATGAGACCCTGTGTCTCATAAAAGCTGTTTTGCAATTCATGAGACTCCCTGACAGATGACAAGATGAACAGAAATAAAAGCTTATACCTTTCCAATAGCTTTATTATTTCGATTTAAGTTGTCCTTGTAGATATTTTGTAATGTGTTTAAGAGAATACAGAACCTGGGCAGAACTTGAGATACTTAGTGTCATCATATATGATTAATCACAGGAAGGTCAGGCATTTTTTTCTAAAGAGATGTATTGGAGTGCTAAAACAGAAAGCATGGGAAGATTTAAATTTTTAAAGCATATTTAAGCCATTATTTGAGGGAAATCCGTTTAATTTTTTACGTGGGTTGAGCTAGCCAGTGTAATCTTGGCGGCTCTGCTTTCACCATTGGAAAATCAAGGCTAGACGTGTGAAATATTGTGTTAACTTAACAGTTGACATAGCTTTTGTAACAAAGCTAAGATAATACTAATGCCTAGAATGACAGAAGTTAAATATCTTACTATGAAAGACTTCTGCTACTAGAGGACTGTAAAGCAGAGTTTCTGGTTGCTGTGGTTGCCCGTCCTGCTCTTAATTCTCCTGGCTACGTATGTGCTTGAGGGGAGGTCACCTCAGCTTTATATTTCAGATAGGTAATCTTTCTTGTTAAGAAGAGTTCTACGTTTGTTTTAATAACTTCCACTTCCATTTTCCCCAATGACTCTTCAATCTAGGTCGCCTTTTTAGCGTTTGTCTTTAAGCATACAGATACACACACAAAAATTGGGAAGGTTCCTGATCCCTCAGGACTGAAATAATTCCAGATCAAAATACTGAACTCTTCAGGAAACTCTGAAAGGAAATGTATTAAAAGCATTTCCTCTGAAATGCTTAAGCTAGATAAGACCTGCAGAGTGGCCAAAGACGTATTTTGAAAAGCCTATATGTTGACAGTGTTTCACTTTTCAGCTACTCTCTTAAGAGATGGTATGGGCTTATAAGAAAAAGTAATAAGACCTTGTAAGAATAAGAATGTAGGACGTTCTTTTATGTGCATGTAATAAATATTTACTCCATTTTTTTTAATTGTTGGAACTGTTGTCTGATTGATACACAGTCTGCAGCGGAGATAATAAATGGAAGGTGGAAAAATTGTCGATAATAAGCTGGTATCAATAACAGTGTTTAGAGGTGCAATATTTTTAAGACTGTCATTGTTTCCTGAGTGTTTAATAGCATTTTTATCATTGCTAGTAAAAATGTTTGATAATAGTTATAACCGTTCCATTTTGCTGGGGGAGGTATGCTGTTAGGTGTAAAGGAAATCCCGAGAAAACACGCTCGGGACAGTTTGACTTGAGTAAGTCAAAAGCTAGGAAGATGCTGTCAACGTCCGCAATCTGTTACTCTGTACAAGACTTCTTTTGAAGCTGTAAACTTATTATTTCATATTGCTCACATATTCCTTTTTATAAACTCAGGCTTACTCTATTAAACTTTAAGTTTGCTTGCTACTACAGAGTAGTAAGTGCAGTAAAAGGGAGGAGAGCAAGGAATTGTTCTGTGTTAAAAGTAATCCTTACTATTGTGATATGTACCATTGTGTTTTGTTGCTGATTGAAGAGACTAAGTTTGCTCTATAACGTACTTGTCAGTGGCAGGGGAAAAGTTGATGCTCTTCTTTGCTTTAAATTTTCTCAAGTTAACTTTTTCAGTCTTTAAGTCAACAGAGTTACTGTGACTTGACTGGTAGTACCATTTTCCCTTCTCTCCCTCCCCCCTTTTTTTGTTTACCAGAAAGAACCCTTTAAAGTGAAAACAGAGTTCGTTCGGAGGGAAGTTATCAGCCTGAGAGATGTATTACTTAAAATAGTATCCATCCTTTTATTAAGAGAAATTAGAAAGATTTATTTTTTGAACTTTAGTCATTCCATGTTGTCCAGAAAACCTAACCAAGTCTTTATTTTTTCCTATATTTAGTATGAAAGATTAATAAAAAAAAACTTGTACAAGAATTAAATCAGTTTTAACAGCAGTACATGTAAGGCCAGCAGCATGAAAAGTGAACTTTGGGAAAGTTGTGCCTGTCCAGCTTCAGTAAAATTTGTTGACGCTATAACGTGTCTGCTTGTGTTTGTATAGCCACTTCGCCTCTAAAATGCGTCTGTTGCAGAGAACTTGATTTTTTGAAACCTGTCTGGAACAGTAAGACCTCATGATCTGTCAGGAAACCAAACTTGATATTTGAAGCACTTGGCAGTAAGGCAGCTGTTGTTCTGGAGGTGATTCTCTTTTTTCATGAACGTATTCTGTAGCATATTATGTCTAGGTGGTGCTTAGTTGGTAAAAGTGAATTTGCTAGAAGCAGTTTACTTAGAAATGCTATGTTACTGTATTAGGTATTAGATATATTACTCTGTTAGATATTCAGCTTTTGCAACTGAATAGTTATCATTTGAGACTTCTTTTCAAAATGTAAAAAAGGTTAAAAATTTTCTTTCTCATATTTCAGTTCTGAATCATTTTTTGACATAGGAACTTCACTTTTCTTCCCTTATCCCTGTGTTTTCTATAAAAATCGATGGCTGAATAGAGGAGAGACCTGAATAAATGTTCAACTGTTGGACAAAGTATGGTGAGCTCAAGAGTTTTATGTGTTCCTTGTGCTGAAAGATGACTAGTCAAAGAGTAATGACTGCCTTTTTGTTCAAGTTGCAGTTAACAGCGATGGGGTCGGAGGAAAGTGCTTAGAGGATGTGAGTGAGACCTGGAGATACTGTAGGTGCATGTGTTGGCATTATTATAGTGCAGGGTAAGATCATGAGGAAGAGATACACACAAATACAAAGTAAACTGGGGTTTTGTAGGTCTGCTGCTTTGGGAACAAATTATTTAAACTAACTCTACCTTTATTTTTTCATTTCTGTGCGAAGTGATAAGGGGTTTTATCAAATCCCCATAGACATACATTACTATTAACAGATAACTGTGTTGTGTGCTGACCTTGTGATAGACAATAACTTAAAACATTAACAGCATTAAAACAATTGTTTTTTGGTAGCAATAACTGTCCTTATTGTTTGAAACTGAGGATATATTTGCTTTGTGAATAATAATTTTATTTTGATTAAGGTGGGAAACGTTCTGTGTATGTTTTGTGTGAATGGGAATATGTGCTATGCAATATTTGCTTAATTAAAAGAACAAAGTCAATTTTTCAAGTTGGCAGAACGAATATCATGTAACTGCTGACTTGTAAATGGGTATCTAGTCAAGTGTTTCAGTTTTACTTACGAACTGTTCTTCAACCTTCTGCATAACCAGACAGTGTGTGACATTATCTTCAGTAGATTATATATTCATTGTGATACTGCTGGATATACTGCAAATCTTGTGTGAATTGTGGCTGACGTTGTGACTGAATGTTTTAAAAGATCACCAGACCATAGGTTGTCTCTGCTTCTTCTCATGTCACGTGCATGCAAACGTCAATATAAAACTGTAACCGTATATGTAAAAATACATGAGTGTGGCCAGTGTGATGTTTGCTGATTTTCATGTAATATGTTCTTCTGTACAGTTTCTTTTTCCCCCCACTTTGTCAGTTGAACAAGCTGAAAAGTACAGTACGGGTGTCGAACTTAAATATTCTTTATGAAGAACTGGCTCATGTGTAGATGGTGTTTCCTGGTGTATGTGAACCATTTATTAATTTAAGTACACGGATGAACATCATGGAATCTGTGAGTCAGCTGGTTACTTAGTTCAAATGTATTGCCCAATTTATTCTAACTTACTAGGCAGAGAAACACACTGGAAAAGTGTTTATTATACCAAATTTGTTTGTTGTACTTAACAGTGACTATCAATAGCCTTTATTGAGGAATGGGAATTCTTTAACTTAATGGCATGCCATGCCATTGTTTATTTAGAATGACTTTACCCAAAAAACATTTGGGCACAGAGACCTTTAGAAGTCAACGCTGTATTCTTAGAGTTAAGGTCAAAATGAACTGAGGTCTTGTATTATCTCCTGTGTTTCGAATGATTATCCTCCATAGAATTGCCCTGGTAATAGTAACTGGTTTTTGTTTTGTTTATATTTTTTGCCTACAATATAATATGTGCTTTAGATGCAAGGAACCTTATCTTCATTTGAGGATTCGAAAGAGGCAAGATCTAAGGGA